GCTTTGCAATTATCATCGTCATCTTTCGTCGAGTAAGTGGCACTCAGGGTTTCTGTAAATAATGCATTTAAGAACATTAATTTCAAATGAGATAATAATGTTCTTCGTGCAAGAGATCAATGTGATGTCGATAATCGTCACGAAGTTGATAGCAGCAGATTACACGACGCTTTCCTACAATTGACGACGGCGGCGTCCATTCGACTCTCTGCACAATGTGACAGCAGATCAAAGCTGAATTCAATTTATAAGAAAAGGCAAAAGATATTTAAGAAAAGATAATCACATCAGCATTGTTGTGTTTAACTACAATTCTGTTTGTTTTTGTTGCTGTTTTACTAAAATTCTGAACAGAGTGTAAATTTAAATTTATCAAATTTTCGAAATGGAGCACTCATTCTCTATGGTCGCTTATGCTTTATTGTCGAGAAGTCAGCACTGTCTGACAGTTCCTTCAACGTCCTCAATCCTATGCTAGCGTTTGAATCTCGCAAAAGATTGGCAAAGTCTGGAGCGGAGTCCTTCGAGGCACTTGCACCAGGTCATTCCTGGCCTTCGCCGGGCTATGGTCGGTCGTTTGAGTGGCTAATAACGAGGATCTGTATTTTTTTCACTTTTTAAGTTGATGTAAACACCATTCGGGAGGAGCCTCCGGGATTCAGGCGCTTGTCTAATATAAAATTTATGTGGGTCGTGACGTGTTTCACAACGAAATCATGAATCTGGTTGTCGAAGTTTAGGTCTAGGGCCAGGGAAAAAGGCGAATTAGTGGGATGAAGGAAAAAGAAATGAAAGACATTGGCTCTTCCAGACATTTGTGTGGGTCATATTTAGCGGTAGCCTAAGTTTGGGCGTGTTTATGCTTTCGTGGAAATCCTGCTGGAGAAATCGAACTTCATTTTGACAATATCGCTGAGATAGTATATTAATAACGGTGAACATTACACATGGTGTTTGTTTGTAGTTTCGTACAAGCCGCAGAACTTCGTGTCAGATTCCGTTCAGAGAAACGCTTTCAAACGGGCCGTGTTCACTGAGCTTCAGAGAAAAGAATTGGAAGAATGGTTCGACAAACAGAAGTACATAACGAAGCCCGACCGGAAGAAACTCGCTGAGGAACTTGGCCTGAAAGATTCGCAAGTAAACTCAGTTATTGTGAATGTGGTTGGTCGACGTGTTCTGTTTTGAATAATGCTAAATATTGCCACACTGTAGATTCATGGCCAGTTGAGGAACATCCTTTAGATTGAGAAGTAGGCATAAACCATGAGCCTTCATCGACTATCTAGTCTCCCATCACTCATTCACTCATTTCTAAAGTCAGAGGTTCACTGGATTATTGGTTTTTATGTCACTGTGCATCGTAGTACAGAAGTAACAAAGTTCAATATACGAATTTCCAACGAATCGGTCAGACCGAGACCCGCTGACGATTCCTTTTCCTTACCATTCAGTTAACCATTTCAGTAATTCACAAATGGTTTACCGATTCATCGTTGAGGACACGAAACATTGCATGTGTTAACACTTTTGCCATCCAGTTTCGTTACACATTGCGCAGTATGGTCAGGATGCAAGGACGTACACAAGGGAACCTTACCTCGTGCAAAAGAAGACAAGAAGACAACGAATAAACTTCGAAACATTTCTTCTTGAAAATTAAACTCAGATGTAGTTGTTTTAAAAAAGAACGTTTTCCATTATTCTTCCCAATTTCATGATGCATTATATCGTGTGTAATAAGACGTGTGCATTGGCTATGGTTAGAGGAACGATCTCCAGATATGGCGGTTTCAGCCTCCCCCTCAAATTTCGGTCTTTCGA